AACTATTGTTCTTCAGAACATCAGAAGATCTTATTTTACAGCCGTGCTTTTTTGTTCTATTGTTTTTCAGGCCCTTGGTGTATTTGGGCTTAAAAGTTTTTGCCCGGTTTGGGGTCTCTGAGTTTTTAAACTGTTCAGAAGCAACACTGCGAGCGTGGCTGCAGGTGATTGAGGCCAACTACCACTCCTCCAACTCATACCACAACTCCACACACGCAGCAGATGTCCTACATGCTACCGCCTTCTTTCTTGGGAAGGAGAGAGTTAAGGTATAACCATCGCCGAGGAGTCCTTTGGGCTAGGATTTCAGTATGTTTGTCATTTTGTGTGTGTCACTCAAAAGTCAGATTTTACTTAAATAATGGCCTTGGCTTCATAAGGTTGCTCTGCCCTTGAAGTCTTTTCCTGTGACGTCTGCAGGCCCACACAGTTTCTGTAAAGTCTGTTTGTATGAGTAGGGAATTTACGTTTTTAAGCAGAAGGAATAGGAGGGAAAAACCTGTCTCTCTTCTATCTCTTGGTAACTGACTGTTAGTAACAGCTCTTAATTAAGCTTTGCAAAAGCTTTGGAGAGAGAGGTGCTGATCTCTTCTGAGTGAAGAATCCAGTATCCAGTGAAAGGGCATGTGGGAATGGGTCAAAGCTGAGCCAGAGGAGGTTTAGGCTGGACATTAGGAAGCATATCTTTACTAAGGGGGTGGTCAAACACTGGAATGGGCTCCCTAGAAAGGTGGTTGATGCCCCAAACCTGTCAGTGTTTAAGAGGTGTTTGGAAAATGCCCTTAACAACATGCATTGACTTTTGGTCAGCCCTGAAGTGGTCAGGCAGGTGGACTAGATTGTCATTTTAAGTCCCTTCCAACTGAAATGTCCTGGCCTATCCTACCCTGTTCTAAAACACACAAGCTGTGTAGGAGCAGAGTCAGTACAGGGTCAATCAGGCAAGCACACAAAGTGGAAGGACACCACTAAAGGATCCATCCACTGTTAGAGGATTTGATGGAAAGTTATTGCTTAGATGTCAGCATAGTAAAAAGATTCATTAAGGAAAGAGGATTTGGATAAGGGTGGGAGGAGGAGTTTTGGAGTAGGTAACCTGTGGGCACATTGAGTGGAAAACAATTGCAAAGAGGCAGAATCCCTGCACTTGAGCTTACACTTGCATATTTGCGCGTACCTGGAAACGATCAGAATTTATTTATTGTAATTTTTGTGCCATGTCATATTTTTTCTCTCTTCCTGTAGGGAAGCCTTGACCATTTAGATGAGGTGGCTGCGTTAATAGCTGCCACCATTCATGACGTAGACCACCCTGGACGGACCAACTCTTTCCTGTGCAATGCAGGCAGCGAGTTAGCTGTGCTTTACAATGATACGGCTGTATTAGAGAGTCATCACACGGCACTGGCATTTCAGCTTACAACTAAAGACAGCAAATGCAACATTTTCAAAAATATTGATAGGTGGGTCTGCTGGAGAAGGGGAGTGCGCATGTGTGGATTGCTTGTTTGGGGATTTTAGTTTGGGACAGATTAAGAGTCTACCTTCTAAATTAGAAAATATAACTTGAATAGAGACATTAATATTTAACCTCTTCCAGAACCCTATGTAGACTTGAGTTTTAAAAAGGCGTTACTTTCCATTCCCCCACCCCCTCATCCTCCAATTTGTATTTTTTGGACAATGTAGAGATTTTTGATAATCTTTTACATATGACATTGGCATGGTCTAGTTGGCCTCCAGGCTGCATCTTGACCCATCTTGATTCATTGCCTTTTCATTGCAGGAGCCTGCAAATTACTTTTTGGGCCACACATTTCCACCCAAACAGCTAGACTCTGCATGCTGTGCCCACTCCGCATGTTGCCCCACACTTGTGGCACTAGTGCACTCACATGGGACAGAAAGGGCTGGTAGTGGAGGGAAACGGAGCTCTGGGAGAGCTGGAGGCACCATGCTACTGGGCGTGCATGTAGCCTGGGAGATTCCATTGCCATCAGACAAGCTTTTGCAGGGACAGGGTGTGAGAGAAAGCGATCTGAGAGGGCAAGGGCCTGACCTCAAACAGGTAATGAATTTACGTACCCCCCACAACACCGTTGGTATTTGAAAAACCTCAGATTTGAGTTCCAAGTGAACATACAGTGAGATGGAAATGTGTTGGTGCCATTCCTGGAGAACTTGTCTTAGTTACAGCATTAAGATATTGAATTGTAATTTTTTATTAAATTCAAGGGATTGATTTTCCTTAGGTAAAAATAACAGACAAAAGGCAATAAAGGAATTCTCATCTGGAGAAACACGGAGAGGCAAGATCTAGGCCATTCCTCCAACCCGAGACCCTTCGTAACTCAGAAGGTGCCAGCTCACATGGATGAGCCCCTGAGCAGTGTTTTGCAGAGCTGGGTAGGGACGAGGGAAGGGCGGAGCTCTGTCTGGCAGGCTTGTGAGGAGTAACTATTTTTCTTTCCTAGAAATCACTACCGAACGTTGCGCCAGGCCATTATTGATATGGTTTTGGCAACAGAGATGACAAAGCACTTTGAGCATGTGAATAAATTTGTGAACAGCATCAACAAGCCAATGGCATCTGAGGAGACAAGCCCACATGTAAGTGCTTGCAGGACTTCAAACCTTCAGGCATTTCAATTAAGTTCTTCCAAGACAACCTTAAGTATCATTTTCCTTCAAGTTGTATTAATTTGCACCGTGGTGCAAAAGACACGGGATTGGTGACCTCACAGCTCAAAGAGTGAAAAAATACTTTTATTTTCTTGTTTCCTGTGTCTGGCTCTGCCCTTAACACATTTAAACACTTCACTTTATAAGCCTTGGTTTCGAAGCCATCTCGTGTTCAAAAAACATGCAGGCGAGTGCTTTTGTACACGCAAAAATCTGTGCGTGGAGCCAGGTCGGCACTCATGCCTAAGGTCCTGCCTCCAAACACCAGGATTTCCCTAAGTGTAGGGTTGTGACTGAGGAACCTGCCCTAACAGTTTCGTGCCTATGTAATCTGGAGCCTTCAAGCCACAGGGAATTACTCCATTGCTTCCTGAGACCTCTCCACTCCATTCCTGATTGTAGCAAGTGATGTCCGTGACTTTACTCCTGTCAGTTACACACCCCAATGCTCCATCACCAGCCAGGGTATGTTTTGTAAGATGCCTCTGAGTTTTCCAGCCCAGGGCCCTCTTTACCTTCTCTTGTTGCCTCTCAAGGTCGAGCGCTCCATACGCAACAGGGTTCTCCAGGGCAGTGTCACTGACCTCAGCAAAGACCACCTTACCACAGCTAAGTGAAAACAGCACGTTGGTAGAAACACTGAAGAAAAAATCAGACCAATTGAAGGCCCATGATAATAAAAATAAATAAGAAGTAGCTGCTGTCAGTTTTCAGTAACTGGATTTTTTGCACTGTAGACCATCATGGGTGCAGAAACCAGTCAGGACTGGTGGGGTTTACAACTTTAGGGACAGCATTACATCAGTTGAACTGACCTGCTTCTAGGGACTGCTGAGCTCCATTCTCCCAACAGTCCGAGCTGGAAATCCCAAAGGCTGCTGAACCTCACTGGCACTGTGGACACATTGCGCTGTACTCTCCAGCACTTCCAGGCTCTGGAGGGCTCACTGGAACCAGCACTGGCTTTGAATTAGGCTGATCGTCTGCAGTGTCAGAAGTCCCAAGGCACAGGGGATGCGGTTTGGGCACTGCTGGGGGCCCCTATGACTGTTCCAGCACAGCCCCTGGCACCGTGCTTCATGGGTTTGCCCCCGTGGCATAGGCTAAGACAGGACAGTGGGGATCCCACTTTAGATCAAAGCCTGGATGAAAAGACGGTCCACATCAGTGAGTGGTGCAGAGCTACCCGCTCTCAGGTGTCTCTGTACTTACATGTGGACCAGACAGCAGCTTGCTCCACCCATTTCTAAAAAAGCCCTCTGAGGCGTCACTGGGAAATGTAGCTTCTCACAGTGCTTCATTTCTCCTTCTGACAGCTTAAGCGTTTTTCTGAAATGTTTCCTCCATCTCCATCCTTTTAAAATCTCTTTTTCTGGCATCCCCACATTGGCCTGTAGGGTTTAGATTCACAAGCCTCACTGAAACCACGGTGTTCCCAAGCTCTGAATGCATTTCAGGGTATCTCCTTGTTATCCCGTGAAAGCATTTGTTCTAGGACTTCCTCAAGAGCTTCTAAACACTCTCCACACATTCTACTGCAATCAGGTTTTCTAACCCGTAGAAAACATTTTCTTTGACTCGCTCTCCTTTATCTCACTGGTTTATAGCAGAGGCTATTTTAAAACGTACAAGAGTTGGAGAGCAATAAAAGGGGAGCACAGAGCCACTTCTATTACAGATTTGGTTTTTTCCCCCAGTATTCGGTTGTTCTGTTCCTTATTGTTAACGGTGGCTCTTCCTATTTTGATCTCCAACAGCAGTTAAGAAGCAGGTTAATTTGGCAGCTCTTTGCTGGGCTACCCATGCTGAAAAAAAATTAACTGCTAAACATAAAGTTAGAAGATTAATGCCTGAATTCGCAAGAGTCACTGCAAAATATCTCCCCATAAACCACAAAGACATTAATTTAGCTGTGGCGGTAAAAAGTATTTATGTTCAATTTTTGACTCAAGAGTTGAATTTAGCAGTGAGGGGAGGCCATAATTACGCAAATATATTATTTCGAGAATAGCGCTAACGCCATAGTGAGCTGAGGTGGTGGTTTTTTATTACTCAATAAGGAATGTAATATACCTGTGCCCTTCTAAACTGTTCAAGACCCAGAAGATGACGCCACAGCAGACTTGTAACAACCGCTCTGTCCCCTCCACCCGCTCTCCAGAGCAGTCAATAAGCAGTTCGGTATTTCACTGCCTAGCAAGCAGAGACTTCCTGCAGGCCGTCTGCCACTCCTGCATTTTCCCACTGTTAGTATCTCATAGATTATCCGAGATTTCATCCTAGCTGGTAACTAAGGCCAAAAAGTATTCTGGGCCAAGTGTTCAAAATCCAGCAGAAACGCAGCAGTTTTATTTGCAAATGTACCGGAACTGAATGGCACAGACTTGGTGTTTTGCTTGTAAAAGAAACAGTCACTTGCACAAATTGGTACACAGCCCATCTAGGAATGAAAAGCAAAGTCTAGAAGCTCACATAAATGAAGCAGCCTGCTACCATCACCACTCCCAAATTTAAACACTCAGCAGCGAGGATGGTTTATCAGCTTGCAGTTGGCGGATATGTTCCCTATCCCAGTCCTCTTGCAAGAAAGCGAGGCTGGAATGCAGAGAAGGGTAACTCACCCTAGCCAATAAAAAGCTTGTGACTCCTTTATTTCACAAACTTTGCTATCAATTCTGAGAATCTCCACAACTGCCATATGTAATGGGACTACCATTAGTTACTCAGCGAGGCTGCAGTTCTCAGACATCACTTTCTTCTCCAAATTCCTGGTGCTTTCTGTGAAATGAGGTGTCAAGCTGGGTGCCCACGTGCAGTCTAAGTGCAACAGAGCTGGTAAGGATGCCCTCGCTCCTGCTAATGCTGGCCCCCAGCCCCTGTAACCAACTCTCTTTTACAGAGTGAAGGCAGCGACTGTGAATGTACAGCGAATATAAAGAATTTTCCAGATAACCAAACATTGATCAAGCGCATGATGATTAAATGTGCGGATGTAGCAAATCCATGTCGCCCTCTAGAGCTATGTATCGAATGGGCAGGGAGGATTTCAGAGGAGTATTTTGCACAGGTATGTTTATTTTTTTATAAGTCGGCTATTATGTTAAGTAAGAAAATGCATGTCAGCTGGTCTGCTATTCCACACGGAGTCTGTCTGGCATCACCAAGGAGTCCAGATGTATGCATTTTGTCCCCGGTCAGAACAAGACCCTTTCATGCAGAAGAATTCGCCCGTCAAAGTTGGCTAGTTTGCTTACCATGAAGCCTGCAGGAGAGAATGGTGGAAAGGAGGTTTTACACTTTTAACTTCCTCTGTCTGGCCAAACAAAATGATTTGATTAGCCTCAGACAATATAACTGGATTCTATGATTCTATGATATTCAAGACCATCACCATTCTAGCTTCCAGTCCCAGTACCTCCTCTGAGGAGAGCATGGTGATCCATACCTGAGGAAGCCCTCAGCTGAATCGTCAGGCTGGCCCTCTCTTCTAAGACGGCGCCTGAACTATGGTCACAGCAGGCAGATGATGTGGCAGGCCAGCACTGCAGGCACCTGGGCAGTGCAAACGCTTATCACATGGGATCGCTCCCGACAGAAGTGGAACCTCAACTTCCTTTTCATAATGTTCAGATTTTCTAACACAAATGAACCAGTTTCCAGCAAGTGAAACACTCTTCTAGTTCTTTATTTGAACAGCTGATAGATTCTTAGTTTTATTTGCCACGAACGGTGTGGAAATCAACAGCTGTGACTGGAGAGACAGAAAAGTGGGCATGCCTACCATCCAAATTCATATCACACACGCGATTGATCATTATTATTGGGGTGATCTTATAGCAGCCTTCCAGTCCTTAAAGGGGGCCTACAGGAAAGCTGGAGAGGGACTTTTTACAAGGGCATGTAGTGATAGGACAAGGGGCAATGGATTTAAACTGAAAGAGGGCAGATTTAGATTAGATAGAAGGAAGAAATTTTTCACTCAGAGGGTGGTGAGGCACTGGAACAGGTTACCCAGAGAAGCTGTAGATGCCCCATCCCTGGAAGAGTTCAAGGCCAGGCTGGATGAGGCTTTGGGCAAGCTGGTGTAGTGGAGGATTTCCCTGCCCATGGCAGGGGTGTTGGAACTAGATGATCTTTGAGGTCCCTTCCAACTCTAACCATTCTATGATTCTCTGATTACTGAAAGAACACAGTAGTCAGCGGCTGAGGCATGTCTGAATTTCATTTTAATCATAGTGAATACATCGATCACTGCCTAGGTAAGATCAGGTCTCGCTGTATCTCCCTAGCAGGCAAGTTATCATGAGCTAGCTTTAAATCGCCAATCTTGGGCACCAGCCTACCTGCAGCAACGTGAAGTGCTGAGAACTGTTCTGCTCTTCATTCACCTCTCCTGGTGATTTTGAGGACTGCTCTGCAGCCAGTTCCAGCATTAGACGCTGCCTATACTACTTAATATGGGTTTTTTTGTAACTAAGACTGCTGAGGTGATTGGCTCCTCCACCATACTGAGCACAACAAACCAGCCCTCTTCCAGTTGCGGACACAGAGTTAAAGGGCACACCCTTACTCCTATTCATCTTATAGCCCAATAGAGGCAGAGAAAGTAGCGACAGCAACGTCCCTCTTACTTAAAAGGCAAATGGTTTGAAACTAGAAACCACTAGAGATGTGGAAAAAGGAGAGATCAAATCTGTCCTCTGCTAAAGGACTCTGCAACCCCATTTTCTGTTTTTAGCTGGTGTGCCTTAATCACCAGATTAGAGCGTTCTGTCTTGCTGGAGCTAAGAGCAATCACAGCACTACAGTAACAGAGTTCTCATGAAAGGGAAGAGATGCTGATTTCGGTCCCAGTTCCAGATGAACTAAAGCACATGAAACTAAGGCAGTTCACCTCAGGTGTTCTAAGGTGTGTGTTACATCTCCTACTGCAATTCTTCTAATTCCCTGGCCTTTGCCGCTCCAGCACGAAAGCCAGCAAAGCTCTAGGGGCTAACTGGAGTTTTGTTTTCTTAGACTGATGAAGAGAAGAGGCAAGGTCTGCCTGTTGTAATGCCAGTATTTGATAGAAACACCTGCAGCATCCCCAAGTCTCAAATTTCCTTCATTGACTATTTTGTAACAGATATGTTCGATGCGTGGGATGGTAAGTACTTCTGCTTTTCCATTCCTTGTTCTGAGGCAGAGATTTCTACAGACTAAAATGAGTAATCTCAAGCCGGCCATGAGTCCCTTTTTTCCAGGGGCAGTGCCTGTATCTAAGCAGTACAGCACAGGATCCAACCAATGATGCTGCTGAAGCCTGTTTCACTGCACACACCACCAGCCTTACAAAAGTTGAGCGCTTACCAGACAATCTATGCAAAGAAGGAAGGAGTTATGGCTTAAAACTAAGCTTCTTTTCATTCAGGTCTTTTTCTCCTTTAGCAATGTATTTCTTCTGCGCAGCAGAAACTGAGATCACAGTGGTTGCATGCCAGCACAATTCAATAAAGTCATCATACTTTAAGAAAGGGATTTGCCTGAAAGAGAAACAGACTGAAAAAAAAATCTTTCTCCTTTAAGCACTCGCTTACAGCTGAAGGAACAAAAGAGAGTAGGAGAGTGCCAATTTCAGAGGAGGTTGAGCTGTTCTTCTGCCTGTTCTGTATACATAGTCCAACTGTTCCTCCTGTTCCTTTCAGCATTTGCACATCTGCCTGTTTTGATGCAACACTTGGCTAATAACTACAAACACTGGAAAACACTGGATGAGTTAAAGTGCAAGAGTCTCAGGCTCCCATCAGAAAACAACAACTGACACAAAGGCAAGAAAAACAGACCTCTTGATCTACCAGTTTCACTGTGAATCACTTACTGACTTGGCTACAAGAGAGATGGTGTTTCCTTTCCAGTGAAATTAAGACTGCGTGGCAAGAAGGAAATATTTTATTTATCACTTTTAAGCTTCTCTGAATCCTACAGAAAAAAAGTTTTCAAAAAGGCTACATAATCCACAGATGAATAAGTGCTCTTTGGAAATAACATTTTGTGGCAGAAAATGTACTTCTGAAACTAATTTCTAATACTGAATACGCATTTGTCAAATCTTGTAAGTGATACAACTGTTTTCACTAACACTTCACACAACTGTTTCTCAGACAGAGTTTCTCAGTCACCAGTAGAGTAAGACTAGGTTGACAAATAAGCATAAAAACCTCCCCCTTCTCCAGCATAAATTTACTCCAATTCTATTGATGTTCTTCAGCCCTCTGAACCATAGTTCTAAAAAGAACATGCACAGTAGAACAAGTAAACCTTGATAAATTGGATACAGTAAAAAATAAACCCTGCACCATTTTAAACAACCTTATTATTACAGAGACTATCTCTAAAGCACCACCTGGTCTCTCTTCTTTCTTCCCAATATAAAATCTTAGCAGGAGTCAAATACTCCTAAAATTGGTCATATAATGGAGGAAATTAGGCATGTTCTATATAATTGGTGCCATCCACATGTTTCTCTGCCATTTTAGAGAAACACAGCCAATGTTTCGCCAAATTTTACACAAAAACCATTGTGGCACTTGCTCAAAATCCTTTTTTATGAAGTGGTGTTTGTACACATGGTCATCATGTGTAGTTTTATGATATTTTATGATAAGTCAAGTCCATATATTGTGCTACTTACTTCTAGGATGAACTTGCCCCTTTTTAAAAAAGTTTCCAGGTTGTAGTTTGTAACAGCATTATAATTTGTACTGCTTTTTTCCTCCTAATAAAATGCTGGTTTGTTTTGTGATGTAAAAAGCATTTCAAAAGATGTAAGTAAGTTAGAAATCAAACATAGTTTTTCATTAGTTTTATGATACAAAATTTATGCTAAAGCTTCCAAAGCACAAACGCATCTTTTTATACATTTCATTGTAATCACGTGCAAAACATGAACATGAGTTCAAATTTTAGACTATTCTCATACTATTCAGTTAATAAATACTAGCGGATCTGCTGATTTTTAACACTGTGCACTCCAGGCTGCAGGCAAGAGCGTCAAAGCTGTGGCTTCAGTTGAAGAAGCAGTCCTCTACTCACTAAAAGGCAAGGTCTTTGAGATATGCTCTTTACCTCCTATATGCTGTATCAAGAATTGAACCCAGCAAAGGAAATAAAAAAAAATCCCCAGAGTTTAGACTGCTGTAGAAGAAAAGTGACGATGATTGTTGTTAACTGCAGGTAGCTTACATACTGTGCCAACCTTTTTGTATGTTTTGTACCAAGTTCTGAAAACAAAAGAAAACATTCATAAAATGTATGTGCAGAGAAATGTATATAAGCTATATTTTTGTTAGAATTGTAATAGAACCTTACTTTTGTCATAGCTAAGGCAGGTTGCTGTGTATTAAAATGCTGCATTCTGTATATTTGAAGAATGGTGTTCCTGGTGAAGTATGTTTATTCATTCTTTCTTATTATACATATTGCAACATTCTTCAATGGATGGTACTCAGATAAGTTGAACCTCTGTTTTTTATACTGTAAACAGTTTGCTTTTACCATTTCTTTATTTAGAACTAGTGCTCCCAGTGGTTATACCTTAACTATACTGATGACTGAATGCTCACTGCAGCTTGCATTAGAGAAAAGAATTTCACAATATTCAAAGCTTTCTCATCTTAATTTAATTTGTTAAATACAGCAACACTCTAAGACCAAATCCATGTAAAACACTTTAATTCATTATTTTTGTCACACTTCTGTCACAAGAAAGAAAACGTGAATGGTGGAAGGAACCTAAGAAATAAAGTTCAGTCTCAGTTCTGGTTCATGAGTTAAGGCGTTAATGTCAAATCAGTGTATTTGTTGCAAGATACTGTGTTTCTTCCCACAGTCAAAAACTAAGTGAAAATGTAATTTGTGTGGAGATATGTCCTCTTCAACAGAGGCAGATCTCTTATACTATAACCTGTTCAGTTGACTAATAGCTGTTTGTTTCATGGTACTGTCAGTGCATGGATATATAAAACAGCCGCTTCAGAGTTGTACAATTATTAAGGGTAGATCTGATGAAGATATTTACTTTCATGATGTGAACACAGGGAATTCTTCATTACTGTGAGGTGGAAAAAGAATTTTAAAAGGACACAAGGTGGAAGTAAAATTTCTAATCTGGTCACCCTAATTCTGCTCACTGCACTTCCCAACAGTAAGTGATAAATCCTTAACAAGCGTAGGCATGTACAGCCTTACTGCATTCACTCTTGTGCTCAAAGTTCATTTGTAAAACAAAGAACTCAATTTAATACTTTCAACTCAACCATCTTTAAAGGAAGAGACCCTTGGGAGATCTATTACCAATGGAGTGTATCTGAGAACAATGGCACGTTTGATAGATATAAATATTTATACACACATGCAGGACTATTTAAGGCTGAATTACATCCCTGTAAAATGCACAGTGAGTTTTGTGACTAGAACTGTTCAGTCAAATAGGTATGTTTCTGTACCAGGCATTCACTTAAAAGCAGTCACATAAAAATGAAATAGTTGTTCTCATGATATAGGAAGAAGAGATAATAAAAAGATGATGTTCCTTCTCTCTAATTGTAACTGATGATAGCAGTAACCTCTCCAAAAAACCTAAGTTTTATAAGCTTTCACTGTAAAGTTTTAGTAACAATAAGTAAACTCACACTTTGTATACAACTAAACAGTTATTTCTCAATTGAAACAAGGAAAAAAGAGCCAAAGAGAAACTCATCTCCTCAGCTTGTATTGGGGTAGCCAAAAATGCAACACTTGCTGATGAAGACAAGCTGAAACAATGCAGACCAACAGGCACAAAGGCTTAACATGCCATCTTCCTCCCTCAAGTTTAATACCATATACCAAAAGGCATGTTATCATCAGCTGTAATCCCAACACCTTTCCTATACTGGCCTATGGAATAGCCACTCTGAGCAAAGACATGCAGCTCAAGATTTAACTTAACCTTAAGCTGACTTAACCTTCCTGAATTGAAAGGAGAGGGTAATTTAACTATTTCTCCATGTTTTGTGTTTTTGAAATATGTCATTCTGAGCTCCACACTCAAAAAAGATTACTTGTACAAATTGACTAAAGTGGGGGGAAAAAAGCACAGCTCAAAATATTACTGTCCCTCTGCCCTGCCTTCCAGGGAAGATTATGGTCAGATTCAAGAGGCAAAGCTTGGCTTCTGGGTGCCAGGAGAAAGACAAGTGCCTGTGGGGGCTGGGGGAAGCACGTCTAAAAGGCTTCTTGGTTTCTTCTAGGAAGATGGAGCTTCCTCCTCTTGCTTCTGCTCTTGTCAGGATCTGCTTAGCCCTTCATTTTAATTGCACTTACTGCAGCCACTGGATCTTAAGTCTGAAATTACAGCACTGTAGTTTCCTGTACTGAAAACTGTTCTCATTGATTCAAAGGGAAGAGATGGCACTGAAAAGTTGCATGAGACATTCCTGAACTGTTCAAGTGCTGGATCTTCTGAGTAGACCTGAGGACAGTGGCACCGACTTCTACATGGCTGTACAACCACTAAGTTCCCAAACTGCCTTCCTCCCTAGCTCCTCTCTGTTCAAATGGTAACTAACTACTCATTATCTCATTCTCCCTCCCACTTTCTTTGTATCAGTTCTGGATTTAACTTTGCTTTTTTTTTTTTTTGCTTTTGGATTTTTGTTGCCTTGGCTTGGGGTTTTTGTTTCAGTTTGGGGGTTTTTCCTACTCCTGTTTAGCTTGCAGATTGCTGCTATTTCTGACTTGAAAAAGGCATTGTGTACGTAGAGGCTTTTTATTTTTAAATTCTAAAATACTATTTATCCTTACAAACTTGGTGCCGATTTCTCTGCAGTCAAACTTCAGCTCAGAATTTAGTATTCATCTGGCAGAATTGTTTTGCTAGTATTGAACACACCAGCTGCTACTGCTCAAGAAAGTATTTTACATCCTAAAAATCCAAGGTAAGCCCAGTGCTTTTATTAGACACAAATTAATTTGATGAAAACACCATGGAAAGACTAAGCTGAACCGATCATGCTTCATGCTAGACACAGTAATGTGCTGTATAAACCCCAGGAGAGTAGGTTAACCCACAGTAAAACGGCAGCTACTGCAAGCAAGGAGTATCCTTCCTTTGCTAAAAATTAAAACCTGACAAACCAGTATTGCCTACTTTTCTTTCTTGCTCTTACCCTTGATGAAGGGTAGCAACTTCAAATGCAAAAATTCTATTTGAGAACTGTTTGGTTTAGGTTTTTTTGTAGACACATAAATCTGAGCCATCAGTGACTAAAGTTTAGCTTCAAGAAATAAGACACAAAGCAGGAAGCCTCAGATTATTTTCTGTGCCTCCTTTCTGCACGTAACACTGTGGAATGCACCCAGCTGCTTTAGTTATGATCCATCTAAGGATTTTCACAAATCTTAATTTTGACATCCACCCATGATATTTTTAAAACTTAGGAATAATATTAGAAACTATTTAATGAGTCATCGTTATCTTCAGTCTTTCAAGAGAACACCATTTCTGCTGACAGAGGAAGCCAAGTAAGTTTCAACATGCAAAATTCCCCTTTGAGAAGAACAGTAGCAATTAATAAAAATTCCAATATAATACATGACAGTAAGTGTAAAGCTTACTGGTAGTCACATTACCAGTAGCTCAGGCTTTCCTTTACACCTGCATTTAACGCGCATTCAGTTTATACATATATAGCCTGTATTCGAGCAATTTAAAATTTGAGCTGTAAATCGTCATTTTGCGCCAATTTTTGAAATAATGCTAAACTGCGGAGCCTAGATTCT